AGGATTTATAGATAACCCACAACCCCTGGCCTGGCAACCCCTTCTCCTCTGCAAAGGGTGCAATTCAGTTCAGTGCACCATCTATTTATTGCACACTCAGCACTAGTCATTGTATGAGAGATGCTGCAGGGATACAAAGAGGAACAGAAAAGCTCTAGTCTCTCAAGGGGCTCATGCGCTCACACACACACCGCCAACAGTATCACCCATCAGGCCGTGTTCAGCCCTCTGTATTTTAGGACTCTGGGAACACAGAAAAAGGTAACTTAGAGAACTCGGAAGTCTTCATAGATGAGGGGAACATATGAATTGGGCTTCAAAGGATCAAATAGGAGCGCACAGACAGAGAAATGAGGAAGAGCATTTCAAACAAAGAAGACTATGGGTGTAAAAATGTATGGACAATAAAGGATGAGAAGCAGCCTCCTGTGGCTGGAGCCTGGGAAGTGAGAGGGGTGAGGTGGAAAAGGTAGGGCAAGACCCGATGGGGAAATGGGGCTTAAATTCCAGGCCAAAGTGTATACCTGGTCAGATTTCGCCTGCCAGGTCCTGAAACCCAACCTTCCCCTCTAATTCTCCTCTCGTGGGATCCAGCTGGAGGTTGTCCGGGTGACCTTGGCTGCAGGTTTCCTGTAAGACTTCCTCTTATAGGGAATGGGGAGCTATTGAATGTTTTGAAACTGAGGCATGACATGATCAGCATCTGGTAAGAAGAACTGTAGCTGCCCACAGAGGGACAAAGGGGATTCTGCTTTTTCTGCCTCTGCTTTTCTCCATGGCTGCTGTGTAGCCAGCCCTTTCTCCCAGCTCCCACTCACTATCCTTGTCCCTTTTGTCCCAAACCTCCAACTCTTTGTTCCAAGCAGGCTAACAAGGCAGAGCATTTCACTCCTCTAGCTCTCACTCCAATCCTTCATGTCCGTCCACCTCCATCACACAACTGGGGAGGAGGTGGGACAGGTGGTGGGGAAGCTGGGTTCACTTCCTTCATGGATCTTTGGGTATCCAGGCATCTGTGGTGCCTTCCCTCATGACACAGGTTTCTGCCTTCACCACTATCCTCCTCAACCAAGCAGCTTCTGGAAGCATCGATTCCAGGGAAGTAGTTTTCCAGTTCTCTTGGCTGTGGCTTATGTGCCCTTCTCAGAGAAAGATGCTGTGCTGAAGACCCTGTGGCATGAAAAGTACATGGTTCCTGCCCTCCAGGAGTCAACTGACCAGTAGGGAAGATAAGACAGCTCCATGGAAACAGCATGTGGAAATCAATGCTTCGGAAGTTCAGAGGAGCAAGCCAGTGACATGCTGCTAGGAGGTGATTCCACAGAGAAAGCACGAGCCGGGAGCGTGAGGATGAGAAACTTTCTTGAGGGCATAGGCGGGGTGATGGGTGGAAATAATTGGAGCAAAAGTAGGAAGGTTAGACATGTTTGGTGAAGATTAAGTCCAGTGAGGGCTGGGCTGGAGGGTTTGAACAAGGACCAGTGCAAATAAAGACTGTGAAGGTGATGGAAGCCAAGTAGACGGTCTTTTTTTTTTTTTTTTTTTAAAGGAGGGTCTTAAATGTCACAGTCAGCACTGGGGAGCCACTGGACATGTTTGAGGTGAAAGATGGAGTGGCATTTCAGGATAATTAATCTGTTATTGGTCTGCAGGACAGTTTGGGTGGGTGGATACAGAAGTGGCAGAAAACCCCTAGGAGACCTAAAAACTAATCCAAATGAGAAGTGATTCCTGGCAGCTGTTCACCCCAGTTGGCCCTCGATCCCCCTCAGAACCTCCTACCACTTAATAGACCCTTGCTGCTCTCTTGGGGGGAAAAAACATAACTCCTATCACCAAACTGACACTTCTCTAGAACTTTCACAGATCAGTTCTCATTCATTCATTTGTTCATTCATTCATTCAATAAATATTTAAACAAAGTTTGTTGTTATTGTGCTCAGTCATGTCTGACTCTGTGGCCCCATGGACTGTAGCTGGCCAGGCTCCTCTATCCACCCCAATTTTACAGGCGAGAGTACTGGAGTGGGTTGCCATGCCCTCCTCCAGGGGATCTTTCAACCCAGGGATCGAACCCGCATCTCCTGCACTGGCAAGTGGATTCTTTACCACTGTGCCACCGGCAAAGCCTTTAAGCAGTGCTTACTAAGTACCAAAAACTGTTTCTTCATTCCTTTCTCCTCTCTGTCTCTATCTCTGTCTCCCTCACTTACTTTCGGATTTGAAGACAAAGGTAAACTTTCACCCACACACGTCTGGGGATCTTAATCCAGCCTTCTCCTCAAACCACTGCCCCGCTCCAGCTAACCCAGTAGCTCTTGCCTTTGGAGCAGGTTTATGGGGAAAAAACGAGAGAAATACCCGCCGTAAGGATTTGGAAGATGGCATGAGGTAGGATAATCTGAGGGCAGGAGGGTAAGCAGCTTGGGCAGCAAAAAGCTCTTGATGGGAGGGAAAAGCGAAGTTGAGAGCTGAGTGTAGAGGGGACCCGGGATGTCTAGGGGAAGGAGGCTGGGGAAGGAGGACAGAGGTGGAGAGAAGAGTGGGAGACAGGCCTCTGGGTGAGGCTGGGGGCCAGGAGGGAGGAGGGGCAAATTAGAGAGCTGGAGAAGGAAGTAGAGTCTTAGCAGCGAGAGGTGGGTGAGGGAGGAGGTGGGGACTGGGAGGCGAGGGCAGAGGAAATGGGCCCAGGCACTGGAGACAAAAGTCTGCGAGTCTGAGCCTCTGAGGAGCCACCTGGAAGGTGCAGGCAGCGGCAACATCAAACTTGGGATCGGAGGGTTGGCTCTGGGAGTGAGCTGGAACTGGGCGGGGGGTAGCTGGAGGGGGAGCTGAGAGCAAGAGAGGGGCTTGAATCTACGATGAACCCTGCTGGGTCTTCAGCTTCATCCAACACCCCCTCTTTCCTCTGAATGCTGGAAGCCTGGGCTCCAGAGTCCCACCCTCCACATGCAGGTTGAGGCCCCGCCGCACCACCCACCCCCACTTTCCTACCTCGTCATTGGTGGGAAAGCACTTTGTCCCAAGGTGCGAATAGAGAGGAGGAAGGGGGTCTCCTGTCAGCTAGGGTCCAGGTAAACCAGGGTCTGGGGAAAACCCCTCCCCGCAAACCAGTCAGGGTCTCCAGGCACTCTCTACTGATCGGAGCGCTGGGGAGGGGTGTGGGCCAGCAGGTCCAAGCCAAGGGCTTCATCCTTTTCCTCCCCCCAAATCCCCCACCCCAAGATTCTCCCATTTTGGACTGGACCTGCTACCTAAGCATATGGAACCGATTGAAAGAATTTGTATGCTCACCTTATAATTTATGCAAATCAACTCTGTAATTAACTATAATTTGGAGGCATCCTTTGGTATTTGAGACATTTATCCATGAGGAAATGCCCTAGTGATAATGCTCCCGTATTAACATTATTTACTCCACCTGTGTGGTCTCCTCGGCTTGTTTCCCCCCTCACTCTGATTTTCTGAGCTGGAAGGTGGGGAGGGCCAGGGAAGCCCCTCCCTGGAGCCTGCCTCCATCCTGACGCCTGGACTCCCCCAGGGAGCTGTACATGAGCCCTGTCCTCTTAACTTTGCCTGGGATTAAAGGAGAGGGTGCAGCCGTGACTCCTAAGCCCCTCACCACTCTACTCTCTCCTGCCTGATGGGTGGCTTTCTGCTGAGCTTTTTTGCACTCTTAAGGGCCTCAATGTTCTCATCTCTGAAATGGGTAGAAGAAGGACCTGTCAGGGCCTTTGCAGGATAATTACTGAAAAGCTAATGAAGGGACTGGGAATCCCCAGTCTAGAGATTTCTGGGGGTGTAGGGGGAGGAGCAGGACAAGAGTTCAGGGTGCAGACGCCCTGACTCACCCTGTGGGAGACTTGGTGGGGGAGGTGGCAGGCAAGCCCTGGGCTACTGGGATCTGTGCTTGTATAGGGGGTGCACAGCAGCTCCTGTCCCCAGTGCCGAGGGCCCTGGGCAATGGTCAAGAATGGGATGTGGTCACATGAAAAGTCTCCAGGCTATTCTATGTGGGTCAGAATTCCTAGCTTAAGAGAGCTTTGGGAAACTGGTCTTAGCCTGTTTCATCTGCTTTCCCCTTCCTGATCTACTGTCCCTCTCTCCTCCAGGACATGCTCCTGTTAGCCAGCATGCCTAAATACACAACCACTCTACCGTTCAGTTCACGTGGTTGGGGACCATGGGGGTCCACCTAAATCCACCTCTAGGCCCCTTCTCCTTTTGTAGGCTGTGTTCCCAGCCTCTTCACTCTCCTGGCATTCCAGGATGGCTGACCTCCTTATAAAAAGTTCTTGGCTGGGCTCTGCCTCTGGTCCTAGGTTAACTCTTGTCCATCCCAAGCTGCCCCACCCTATCCTAAGTTAGGGAGAATGTCTTCCCTTCCTATTTGACAATGAGAGATCCTAGATCCAAAACGTGAATTACATTGGACCCTCCTGGCAGTTCCGAGTTGAGGGGTAACTGAAAGGGGGACCAAAAAAAGGGAGAAGGAACAAGGCTCCAGCAGAGAATGAGAGACTCACCTCAGCTGCCAGAAATAGCCAGGAACACTGCTGGGGAGCTCTTCGGGGAGGGACCACGTGAAGGGGTGTGTGTGTGTGTGTGTGTGTGTGTGTGTGTGTGTGTGTGAGGTCTTAAAAGTGCCTTCTTTCTTTCCCCTGTCCATGGAGGAAACAAAAGGAGGGGGATGGAATTGGAGAGCTCCTGCCATGCCAGCTCTTTCCTCTGGCGATGCTCTCATTTCCTCAATCTTGGGAGAACCACTTTGTCCCTCTCCCATCACCTGTCCAACCTCTGTGGAGGGAAGGATGTCCAGCATCCCCCCAACACCCACCCCAGCTGCCTCTTCCAGCTGAAATCCTCTTTTCTTGGCAGACGTCAGAGACTCAGATCTCAGCCCCACCACTCCCCCAGGACAGCCGGGGGCCACTGTTTCCTGGATTATCCTAAAAGCTTCCGAGGCCGTGAGGACTTGGCAGCATCCCTGCCCGAGTCTCTCACCTCCCCCTCTGGCTCTGACTGTTGCATCCTTTATAAAGCCTGACTCTTCCATCACCCCCACTTGCCCCTCACTGCTGCTGCCAACTCTGGGCTCCATGGACTGGTAAGAGGGGCTGTTTGCTATCCAGTTTAGGGGACAGGAGAACCAGGTCTCCACACCAAAGTTGGGATCATTGAGAAGGTTAAAAGGTTTGATTCTCTCTGAACTGGGGAGGAGAACATAAGAGGGAGATCTTGGAGGGGTCTGCATGGGGAACAAAAGAGGATTCTTGGAGGTCTCTGGACTGGGCTGAGATCTGAGGGAAAAGTACAGTGGGGATTCACCAATTGATAGATGACAGAGGATTTCATTCTGAGAAAATAGAAGGGCTAATATAACAGACATGCAGGGCACACACTCAACCACATGGAAGTCCATACATGATAGCATATCTGCAAAAGTCGTAAGGGGGAAACAACCGTTTATGTCCTGTGAGGACCATCCTTTATGATGGAGGAGAGAGGACCAGCACCCCACATTCCAGCCCTAAAGGTACACACAGGTGTGGTGAGTACACACACATTTTTAGACACACACACACACACACAGAGATGTACTAGCCTCAGTTGTGTTCATCTTTCAGACTGAGAGTGAGTGTGATGCTAGGGACCTTTGGGTTTATAATAGAATTAGTACACAAGTAGTGCTTTGGGAACACCCCCAAAGGGGAAAAGAGAAGGAAATAGCAACCCACTCCAGTATGCTTGCCTGGAAAATCCCAGGGATGGATGGAGGGACCTGGTGGGCTACAGCCCAAGGGGTTCCAAAGAGTCGGACATGACTGAGCAACTAATGCTGAACGCTAAGTGCTTGGCCCTGGGTAGACTCTCAGTAAGTGTTAGTTCAGTGAATAAAGGATGAATGAAAGAATAACATTTGACTCCAGCTCTGGACTCTGTCCAGTTTCCCAGGAGCTTGGGGGAGGTGGGGGTGGTGGTGGGCAGGAGGGGATATGAGGAAGGTATTAGTGTCTGCGATCACCAGCTTGCTGAGTGCAACCTGGAGGTGGGGACTGGGAGTAGAGAAGAGCAAGCAGCTAGGAGACCAAGAATCAGGAGACTGGAGTTCTGGCCCCTGCTCTGCTTCTAACTTGTGTGACTTTGAGCTACTTGCCTCCCCGTTCTGGAATTTAACTTCAAAATGAGGGTTTGCACTGGGCAATTTTTATGGGCAGAATAGCTTTGATATTCTCATAGTACAATCTCTACAGAGGGACACTTGAGGTTTGGAAAGGACCATAGCAAACCAATCCAAGATGGGACCAGTTTGTCCTATCTTAACATCAGGATCTTAATGGCTCTGTGCTGGGGAATATTTTAAGAATTTAGTCCTCTCCACCTTCAGGATCTAGGGGAGCCAGACTTCCAGGACTATCACTACTGCTGAGGTTAGATTGAACAGGGGTAAGAATGTGTGCTTTAGAGCCTGACAGATCTGGAGTTGGTTTCCTTCTCTATCACTTAACAGCTCTGTAATCTTGGGCAGGTCATTTAACTTCAGCTTCCTCATCTGTACAATGGGGGGATAATAACAACTACTTTGCTGCATGCTCATGAGAATTAGAGATGTTTGTGCGAAGCATCTGGAACCCAGTAGGTGCCCAATAAATAAATGCTGGTTATAATGAACATGGAGACCAACAAGGCTGCTCCAGCTACAAAGTGGACTGCTGACTATAAGTGAGGCATGAGAAGGAGAGGAGTGGCAAGACACTTTTGGCAAAATCTGTTTACCGCTTTAGGGGGATGAGAAATGGCCCAAGTCCTGGACAGATCGCAGTGGGCAACGTGCTTCAACTTTGAAGTAAGATATCAAGGCAGTGGGCAGGGGCGATCTTGGCAGTCATGTCAACATTAGACTATGAGCATCATTAAGTAAGGAAACATAGCAAGTGGGAAATTGAAAGGGCTGGAACCAAAGAAACAAAAGCAGAGGGGGATCTGGAAGAAAGAAATTATCCTGAGTCAGAGGCAGAAACCCAGGGAGGGCAGGAAGTGAGGAAGGCTGACTTTTCTGAGACAACTGAACTGTTGTTGAATTTCACGATGACAATGAGCTCCAGGCAGATGGAGTGTCTTTGCTTCTGGGAACCCCGGGAGGCTATGGGTCAGGACTGGGCGGGGTTAAAGGAGGGCAGGGTGAAAGTGCGGTGGGATGTCTACCATCCAGGGGCAGTATACCTTTCCATGTTCTTTCCAGGGAAAGATGGAAACGGGAAGACAAGACAAGTTGGTGCCTATACATAAATGAGAGAGGGGCTCGGGTTTCCCACTAAGAGTTAGATCTGTGCTCAGGCATTAAACCAGAGGTCAGTGGGCTGCTGAGAGGACGAGGAGGAGGAGGAACAGAATTCCTAGGGGTCGAATCAGACTTAACCCAGAAATTCGAGTAGCAGGCTCTTCGATGTGAGCCTGTAACTCCGTTCCAGATGTGGTTATGAACTCAAGTGCAAATCCAAGTCAAGATTTGCAGGCTGAATGCATGGAAATAAAACCATGTGGACAGAAAGGGGGTGTCCATTTAGCCGTGGCCACAAAGACCCAGAGCCGTTCTTGAGATGGCTCAAGATAATCTGAGACATCTCAGGGGCCCAAGAGTCAGAAATGAAATCCCAATCAGAAAGTGTAATCCCTGACATCCGGGCGTCGCCTCTCGGCTTCCTAACTGCCCGCCTGTCCTTTACCCCACAGGGCGGCTGCTCTAACCGCATTTCACTCATGAGGAAACTGAGGCTCAGAGCAACCTGATTCACCAGATGAGCGTAGCAAATAGATAAAATTTAGGTCTGTCAACTTCCAGTCCAAAGATCTTTGTGAATATACCTTAGTCCAACAAACATTTGCTGGGAACCAACTTATTTAATAATTATAACACTATAAACGATACCTTCCCTTTACTACGAGCTTACCAGGGGCCCCATGGGTTAAATGCTTTAGGAACATCAATTTCTCTAAGCCCCAAGAAACCCTCCCGACTTGTACCCAGGTTGTCCAGATGAGGAAACTGGGTCTTATAAACGAGGGATTTGCAGAGATGAATCAAACACTGATTCTGGATATGAGAATGTGTATGTTTGGTGGTGGAGAACCACACACAAAAAAGATCGATTTTCAAGTGCCCTGTGGACTGAGTTTGGCAGTTTAATAGTTGCACTTCCTATTCAGGACAGGTAAACCAACTGCGGTGGAACCGGGTCTCTAGCTGTGAAAATGAATCAGCCTAAATTCCACTCAGGCTGTATGAAATAGATGTACAGACAAAAACGAAATTTAAAAAGCAGATGGCAGAGCTCATAAGGAAAGCCAGCCGGGGCAACGAAAAAAATTAGGAAGTTGATCAGAATTCCCCTTGCAACAGAAGAGTCACTCCAGGAGGTCGAAGCGGCAAGTACGGGGGAGGGAGCCTCCTAGCCCGGCGCCCAGGCCGGGTTGGCGGGGAGGAGACGGGAACTCCCCGACTCATCCGCCCTGGTTATCTCAATCAACTCTGATCTGGAGAGAAGTTTGTAGGTGGGCGTCGCAAACGCCCTGAAACTTTGCAGAGGGCTGTACTGTGCATTTGTTTTTCTCAGAGGAATCCAAGACCTTTCCCCAAAGTTACGAACCTTGGGTTTAGACATTCAGATGAGAATTAGGAAGGAGTGAGGCAAGGGGGTCGCGCAAATCTTTGCATTAGTGTCCTTTCCCTAGGCTATCCCGGCGTCTAACCCAACTTTCACAGTCGGGTGCGCCAGAGGGCGAGAGGGGCTGGGCGCAGGGTGAGAACCTTCGGGTCCGAGGGGAACACGACTGTATTTGAGAAGCGGACCTGGGAGGCGCTGGGGTTGCTGCCCAAAGGCAGATGGAGAGTGAGAGCTGAGGGGGCAGGTCGAGACCGGCCAGACGGGTGGGAAGAGGAGAGGAGCTGCTGCTAAGTCACGTCAGTAGTGTCCGACTCTGTGCGACCCCATAGACGGCAGCCCACCAGGCTCCCGTCCCTGGGATTCTCCAGGCAAGAATACTGGAGTGGGTTGCCATTTCCTTCTCCAAAGAGAAAAGAGGAGAGGAGGAGGTTACTCAAAAAAAGGTGAGTGGCCAGAGAGCCGGGAAGCAAGAGAGCGCAAAGATCCTGGAAAGGTGGTGGTGGTGGAGAGAAGCGGCTGGAGGAATGGTGAAGGAGGGCAGCGGCCAAGACCAACTTCTCACGGCCCAGGCCTGGGGTAGACCGGACACATACTCGGCGCTCAATCCTGTTTCTTTCTTTCCTCTCCGTTCTGGGGCAGCTCTGCCCAACAGGGGTGGGCGGGTGGGTGGAGGGCCGTCGAGGCAAACGGCGCCCTAGGGTGACTCGGTATCACCCTCAGGACCCGCTTCCTCCTCCATTCCCGCAGGGTCTGAGTCCTGCGTGCCCGCCAAACCGAGCCAGCTCGAGGGCAGTATTCCACTTGATGGGGCGGGCCCCAGAACCCGGGAGACACCCCGCCCAGGCCCCTCGCCCCAGCAGTGGAGGGGCCAAGGAAGAGCAAGGGAGGGGGCGGAGTGCGACCTAGTTAGAGATCGCCCCCCCCGCCGCCCGCCGCCCGCCCTCTCCCCTAGGCCCGGCCAGGTCCGGCCGAGCCGGCAAGGGTTAAAGGCGGCCGCAGGTGAGGTGGGCGGGGCCGTGAATTCGGGGAAAAAGGAGCGCAGGGCAGAGGATGAAGGCAGAGAGCGCGGTGAGTCACGGGCGGAGCTGGCCTCGCTCTCTTGCTCGCCGGCTCCCGCCCGCCCTCCGCCCTCCCGCCGCCTCTCTCCGCCCCTCCTCCGCCGCCCGCCGCCGGGTCTGCTCGCTGCCCCCGCTAGCCCTCGGCTCCTGCCGCTCACCGCTGGAGTGCCCGCTGGCGCGCGGGGTTCAAGAGCGCCCATCGGGAGCGCGCCAGCCTGCCGTGCGCCGGAGCCCGAGCGCACACTCGAGGTAGGAGCCCGCCCGGGTCGGGGCGGCAAGGGGCGCGCACATTAGGGATCTCCTCGGAAAGACGTGCCCGGAACGCGCCGCAGCTTCCTCTGGCCTCGGGGGAGGTGGTCCTAAAGAATCTGAGGGGTTTAGAGCCCCGGTGGAGTGAAAACGGGGCGGAAGGGAGAGGCTGGAGACTGGGTAAACTGGAGCGACTGGGACAGCTGGAGGACTGGAAACTTGAGGACTGGAAGTACGGAAGTCCTAACCACCTGAGAGCGCCGGTGATGGGAGAGGCAGCCGGCGGAAGAGGGAAGAAGGGTGTCTCTCTACCCGCCTTCCCCGCCTGGGGAGCCGCAAGCCCGGGTACGCGCCCGGCTGTCTCCCTTACCGAGAGCTCGATAGCAGGCTAATGCCTTCCAGGATTGGGCTCCCTGGCCCTGTGGCTGGAGAGGCCACTCTGGAGCCTGGATCGTTAGCTTGTCCCCCAACCCCCACTCCAACCCCTGGGGCAGTTCCCAGGCTCCAAAAGCTATTAGGGTCCCAGACCTCTCTGCTCCCACCCAGCCCCTTCTGGGCTGCCCCGCCTGGGCCTGAGGCTCTGTTCCTGCCGTTTCACCCAGTTCCTTTCTTGTGGTGAGGCAGCAGGAGCTTGAGTAGGCGCCCTAGCGCCCTTCTCCCTCCCTCTCCCAGACAGCCTAGGCGACCTCCCTGGCCCCCCCAGAAGCAGAAGATAGTAAGGTCATCCAAATACTGATTTGGGAGGGAAAAATCCCTGCTCTAAACCACTGCGTCTCCTCCCGCCACAATCAGTGAAGGCCCAGGCACCCGGACTCACACACTCCAGGCATCAGGGCAGGGCTCCCAGATCTTACTGAGAGGTGGTGAGATGAGGGGGACCTTCAAGTGACAGGTATGTGTTCCAGAAAGGGGCCCACTCTTTCTGGAGTGGGGTGGTTTTTAGGTTCCCAGTGGTTTAAGGAAAGAGAAATAGACCAGGAATGGAGAGACCTGGTTCACGGAGATACAAACTAGCTGATTGAATGCATAGATTGAATGTTTTTTTTCAAGTGACTTTTCCAATTATGGCTGTTTCCTCTTCTTTGAAATGAGGATTGAAAAATAAAATAAGAGGATTGGCCAGGAGCAGTGGTTCTCAACACTTGGTTGCATGTTAGAATCATGTGGAGAGCTCCTAAAAATGATCCAAGTCTAGAATGCACTCCCTGTATAATATCTCTGGGTAATTCTTCCTCTTAATTTCTGTGCGATTCTGGCTTTTCCTGTTGCTTCCCCCACTCTGTCCCTGAATCCCTTGCTGGTAAGCTCTTCTCTGGCTGACCCCTTCTCAGGGGAAGCAGACCCCTCCAAGCTTCCTATCTGGGTCTCCCCTAGATTGGAGGAGGGCAGAGGTAGCAGCCAGAAAGCCGGCTGGGCACTGGTGTAGGTCAGGCCAGAGAGAGGGCTTAGCTTTCTCTGGTGGAGAGACGTCCTCTGAAAACTGGTACTGTAGCTGTACCCCAGGAAGGTGAAGTCCCTGCTAGAGAGAAAGGGAATGGGGGCCAGGTATGGGAGTGGGTTTGGTGGGGCTGAGGCAATCCAGCCAGGCAGGGAGCTGCGGGGAGTGGTATAGGGCAGAGAAATGCTCTTCTTCATTGAGCATGCCTCAGGGATGGAAAGAGGGCTCTTTTTCTAAAACCTCAGAACCTGCTTGGGGCTTTGGGAAGTCAGGTCACTTTAAGCTTTGGCTTAGAACACCTCCCTCTCCCCAGCTTAGTCCCAAGTTAAGGTGAGGACTTACACTAGAGATGAGTCTAGATTCTGCATTCTGGCGGGCAGCAGATCTGCAGGGGGAATTTGGAGGGAGGGAGATGGGAGCAATGCCAATGCCCTCACACCCAGCTGGGCAGCTAGGATGGTTTTAGAACTGTAATCTAGGTAAATCTGACCTGTTCACCTGGGACCAGCCCAACTCCCAGGATGAGCTGGGTCCTATAGGAAGGATCACCTAGGAGAAGGTGAACTATCAGCGTCTTCTGGGGGTGGAGGGCCTCGCACCCTCACCCCTTCCTAGCACTCCTAGTCCACACCCAGAGGTGCTTTCCCCGCTTTTCACCTGGGGGTGGGAAAGGAGCACTTGGCCCCGGAGGGGATCCGGGCTGGGAAGGAGAATGAGCCAGTTACTTCCCTCACTTTGTCTCTTCTTTGCCTCCTTTAGGTCCCACCTGAGGTGCCCTTGACTATCCCTGTCCCCCATCCCACCCCTGATCCCGGCAATGCTAACCGCCGTCTGCGGCTCTCTGGGCAGCCAGCACACGGACGCGCCTGCCGCCTCCCCGCCGCGCCTCGACCTGCAGCCTCTCCAAACATACCAGGGCCACACGAGCCCGGAGGCCGGGGACTACCCCTCCCCGCTGCAGCCTGGAGAGCTGCAGAGCCTCCCGCTGGGCCCCGAGGTGGACTTCTCTCAGGGCTATGAGCTGCCGGGGGCCTCCTCTCGGGTAACCTGCGAGGACCTGGAAAACGACAGCCCCTTGGTCCCGGGACCCTTTTCCAAGCTCCTGCAGCCGGACATGTCACACCATTACGAATCGTGGTTCCGGCCGACACACCCAGGCACCGAGGATGGCTCGTGGTGGGACCTTCATCCGGGTACCAGCTGGATGGACCTCCCCCACGCTCAGAGCGCGCTGACCTCACCTGGCCACCCCGGGGCGCTTCAGGCTGGCTTGGGGGGCTACGTCGGAGACCACCAGCTCTGCGCCCCGCCGCCGCACCCACACCCGCACCACCTCCTCCCAGCCGCCGGAGGGCAGCACCTCCTGGGGCCTCCCGACGGGGCGAAGGCATTGGAAGCGGCCGCCCCAGAGTCCCAGGGCCTGGATACCAGTCTGGACGGGGCGGCCCGGCCCAAAGGCTCCCGGCGGTCGGTGCCCCGCAGCTCAGGCCAGACCGTTTGCCGCTGTCCCAACTGCCTGGAGGCGGAGCGACTGGGGGCTCCATGCGGGCCCGATGGGGGCAAGAAGAAGCATTTGCACAATTGCCACATCCCCGGCTGTGGGAAAGCTTACGCCAAGACGTCACACCTGAAGGCGCACCTGCGCTGGCATAGCGGCGACCGTCCCTTCGTGTGCAACTGGCTCTTCTGCGGCAAGCGCTTCACGCGCTCTGACGAGCTGCAGCGCCATCTCCAGACCCACACCGGCACCAAGAAGTTCCCCTGCGCCGTCTGCAGCCGGGTCTTCATGCGCAGCGACCACCTGGCCAAACACATGAAAACCCACGAGGGCACCAAGGAGGAGGCAGCCGGGGCGGCTGTGGTAGAGGGCAAGGCTGGCGGAGTGGAGCCCCCCGGGGGCAAAGGCAAGCGTGAGGCCGAGGGCGGCGCGGCTCCCTCCAACTGAGCTCCCCCGTCCTGCCTCCCCGCTGGTCTTCATCAGAAGAGAGCCCTCGGGCCTGATGCCCTGGGGGGGGGGGGGGGGGGGGGCTTGAGTAAGAGGAGAAAGTGGTTATTTATTGAGAGGCAGGAAAAGTGGTGTGGGGGTCAGGGAACCGGGGCGCTAGGGGTTTCGCAGTCTCTGGAGCTGGACAGGACAGGCGCGTTTGACTGTTTTGACTGGGCAGGGAGGAGCTGCGCATGCCGGTCAGTTCTCCCCTTCCTCTCTATTTCACTCCTGCCCCTGGGCTGGAGGCTGGGGAGGGATACCCCTGTGGCGGCTGGAGGGCGGAGGGCACAGGTCGGACGGCGTGTCCTGGGAGCAGAGGGGAGTGGGGCCGCCCCGGGCGCTGGGGATAGCTGTCCGGACACGTCCTTAGCGCCTGGGAACTGGGACATAAAAGGGCCTCCAGAGCCGCCCTGCGCCCCGGGTCCCTTTCATCCCCCTTAGATTGCTTTTACCCCAGGGTTTCCGGAGGGAAAGCTGAGATGGGGTATCAGAGGCTGGGGGTCCCCCTAAGGGAGGAGATTCTATCTGGCTAGGAGGGTTGTCGCCACAGAAGTAAACGCCTTTGATGTGCCTCCTTATTAAGCCTTCCAGACCCAGTCTGATGGAGCCATGAAGGAAGAGGGGAAGAGGGCCAGAATCCAGCAAGCTTCCAGCAAGACCAGTGGGGTGGAGGAGACAGCTTGATGTGGGGGTTAAGCAAGGAAGTCTCTTCTAAAAAACAGGAGAAAGGAATTCGGTCAGGGAGTGGAACTAAGCCTTTCCCTCTCTAACTCTGATTCAGACCTTAACTTCTGGTCTTTATAAAAATAAAATTCAGTAGCCCACTCTGGTCTGTCACCCCAGGTAGGGCTTCAAGGCAGCCAGGAGCCCCTGCTCCAGAATTGATGTAGTTCCGCACCCTAGGTCCCTCGGCATTTGCCTTCTCCTTAGGGAAAGAAGGAAGAGGCTTATCTTGGCTGCGTGGGGTTAGGTGGGAATGTCCACCTCCAACTGTTTGGCTCTGAGTGGAGAAGTCTGTCCCTGCCTGGCCATCTTCTCTTCTCTGCTTCTTAGGGGAGAAGCTAAGCCCCACTATTTCTTTAGCTCGACCCTTCCCCTTTCCTGATGCCTACCAGCCTTGCTCCTCCTGTAGAGTGTGTTAGGAGGCTCCTCTTCCAAATGAAGAGGTTCTCTCGTTGGAAGGGGTCTGCCTTCTGAGGCGATGTCCAGGAATCATCCCTGTTCCCTTCTTTAGATGCTAGAAATACATCCTGATGGTGATCCTGGAGTGGGGAACGTGGGGCAGGGGGAAGCCAGCAGAGGCTGAGCCAGGCACTTGGAAGGAAGCTGATGGGGGAAGGGTCTGGTGGGCCATAGGACCCTGGAGCTAGTGGACTTTCCCAGGCTCCAGATAGAGGTTTTAAGGTTTCCCCTGACCTCCCTTTTCCCTGCCCTTCTTTCTCCACCCTATGCAAGGGTTAGTTGTGTATTGATTTTTTAAGTTATAAGCAAAGGGTATTTTATTTAATATTAGGACATGTGTGTGCATGTTGTGTGTACCTATGTATGTGTGTATTTCTGTGTGTATGTGTGTTTCTCTACTGAGCCTGGGGTCTCCAGCCAGGGAGACCCCGTCTTGTTCAACCCAGCCAAGGTCCTCTGGCCTAAGGCCCATAGCATCTTTTCCTTGGGGATGCTGGAGCCCAGTCCAAGGACTGGGTGCTTTTTGGGAAGTGGGGCTGAAATCTGGGGGGGAATATGTTTGTGTAGAAGAGAGCCCTTCGTATGAGGGATAGGGTGACTCTCCCTGAAGGGCCCATGGGGTAGGTTCAGAAGTCACGTCCTGTCTTTATGCTCCCTCTGTCCCTACCTCCTGCTTATCTGACCAGAGGTCCCTTTCCTTGTGGAGAGAGTTGGGGGCAGCAGAGAATGGGCAGTGCCTGCAGGCTGCCTGGCCCGGTGGACAAGGGGTAGGGAGAGAGGGTTCCGTGGGTGTGAGATGCCGTTTTCCTCCACCCATCGAAACCAGCCACCCCCTCCCTGTGCCACCAGGACAGTCTTTCCCAGTGACCATTCTCAGGGGAACTCCCTAGTGGGTGTTGGGGAGGGGGTGTGGATATTCCCCCCATGGAGGCCCCGAGCTCTAAGGTGTGCGGGTGAGGGCTTTGGATAGGTTTTCTTCTCCCCTCTTTTATAGACCAAGGTTGCTTGGCTGTCTGCCCCCTTTTAGGCAGCCCCCTAGAGGAGAAATGTAGGATTTTTTTTTTTTTTTCTTTAACTGCTGTGAACCCACTTTAGGGGGGTGGGGGGGAGGAGGAGGAAGAAGAAGCGGCCTGTGTTTTTTATGCCATAATAAAGTCATCAACCACATCACTGCTTCATTTGTCTTCCAGCTCTGGCTTCCTTTTTGACTCAGGGTCCCTCAGCAGTGAGGACCAGGCTGGCTGCAGGGTGGGGTGGACACTTCTCTTTGATCCCGCAGCCCTGGGCAGCCTCCCCTCCCTTTGTTTGGGGGCAGAGCTGAGCTGATTGCAGGGTCAGATCCTGCCCTGCCCTGAGGTTGTTGGTGCAGGAGGAGGGTGGGGTTCCCTCGGGGTTGATAGCTGAGCCGACTGTCCCTCCCTGTTCTTCACCTGTGGAGATGAAAAGATTCTAGATATTTCCTTCCTCTTCCACATGCAAGCCCCTTCTTTAGCCTCCCCCACCAAGAATGCTGGTTCCCTGCCTTCCCAGAGATGGCTAGCCTCTTGGCCCCCTCTCCCCACTCCTGTGGGGGTGTGCCTGTCAATCAGGCCTTCTGGTTGTGAGCGAGGTGGGGGTGACTGACAGCGATTTCTTCACCCAGGATGATCCCTATCAGGGACAAGGTGATGAAAGGCAGCCCAGATATCTGATGGGCTCCCGCCCAGCTGGAAAGTATGAAGGAAAGGTTCCTACTGCAGCTCCCAGCTAGAGACCGGCCACAGTTACACAATCACAGAAGTGCTTCAGTGGGTCCATGGGGCATCCCCAGATACGCACGAATGCATACTTTTCCAGGCTGCTCAGTGCATGGTGCACAGTCAGTGCCTGACACATGTCACAGTAAAAGCCTCATGACTCCAGAGTCTCAAACCTAGGAAGGTTGATAGGGATCAGTTTTTGGCTCCAAGGGTGCAGAGTAGGTTACTATATTCTTCCATCTTCCCATCCTACATGATGGCCAAAATTATCTACCCTAGTGGGACTCCTATTCCTCTCCCTCTAACCCTACCCGACTTTCTCAGAGCCAAGTCTGGTACCAGGTTGTTTGGGAGAATCTGATGTCCCAAAATTTCTTAAATGGGGGCATCAGCATGATTTAGGGATTACAGTGTACAGCAGACTGGGGAGGGGGCCAAATATTTATTTTCATATGCTGCTGGACTTAGATGCCTGGGTGGAGGCGCGTTCCTGTGACCTCAGGCCCACTCCACTCCCTGCTACTTACTCTTCTTTTTGTCTTCCTGGTTCTGGAGACTCAGACCCCAGGAAACTGGCGAATCCTCTCCTCCTGCCCCCCATCGCTGCCCCCAGGGGACAGGAGGGCAGCTGTGGGGCCGGCCGGGCCTGTCTGGGCAGGGCTGGGGCTGCCCCTCCTCCCCTGGCAGCTCCTCCCGCTGACCTGCATTCTTAGCGGGGGCCTTTGGTGGGGCTCTGACGATTCGTCGCTCGCCCTGGCAGCAATGCTGCCTGGCTGCCCCCTCCCCGCGCAGTGGGGCCCAGGACCATCTCTGACCCCTCAGTTCTGTTCCCCCCGGCAGGACAGTCCTAGAGGGGCTGAGAGCAAGTTTGGGAAATAGGAACATGGGTCTGATCCCTCTGGGCAACGTCTCTGAGCCACTCTCTTCTCTCCTGGGAAGTGGGACTAGAAGCCCTCTAGGGTGGGTGAGTGGAGTCAGGACCGGGAAAGTGACTGGGGAACCAGCAGCCTGGGAACTGCAGCCGGAGGCTGTGCTGTACGGCCCCAGGCCTCTCCTCCTGCCCGTTCCTGCCCCCCAGCGGGCACCTGGGGAAGTGCACGACATGAACTGGCTTTCCAGCCCAGCGAGGTGGGTGTTCAGTGTTGATCACCACACAGCCTTGATGTTTGCTTCTGGAATGACGTCCGGTGGCAACCTCAAGACCCCACCCCCACCCTGTACATCACACCAGAAGCAGCCTTCACGTCCCATTAATCCTAGCGAGTCTGACTGCTCAGCATCTGAGCAGTGTGGGTTTGAAAAGAATCTCAGGAACCAAGTAGTCCAGTTGTTCCCACCTGGAAGAGGGCATATTAGAACCATCCGTGGAGTTTTTCCAGAAACTCCGATTCACGCCCCAGCATCCCACCAAATTATGTCCCTTGGGGGTGCAGTAGAGCAGCGCTTCTCAAACTTTACACCTGGGGGTCTTGTTAACATGCAGATTCCCATTCAGTAGTTTTGAGGTGGGGCCAGAGATTCTGCATTTTTAACAAGCTCCCAGATAATGCTGATGCTGGCAATTCTCAGACACTTTGAGAAGCAGAGTATTAAAGTATTGTGCTATGCAATGGGAGTTGTGTGGTTGAAATATAATCCCTCCTCACCATGATTCAGAACCACTGATCTAGTCCAATGCCTTCATTCGTTACTGGAGACACTGAGGCCCTTGCAGGTAAAGTGACCTGCCCAAAGAGGCCTGCGGTGCTATGTTATAGCAGGAAAAAGGAGCAGGATGAGATGCTGGTCTGCACGTTCCGGGTAAAATGCTTTTCTCCCTCCAGCCCAGCTTCTAGGTCAACCTTCTGTTCAAGTGGCAGTCCCTTTTCTGAAAGTGACACCCATTTCCCTGGAAACAGCACCCTCTTGGGAGCCAAACTTGTTTAGCTGGAGGCAATCAGAAAATGTCTCAGGACTTTCCAAGTGGTTAAGAATCTGCCTGCCAATTCAGGGGACACAGTTCGATCCCTGGTCCAGGAAGACTCCACATGCCTTGGGGCAACTAAGCAGGTGCAGCACAACTGCTGAGCCCACCTGAACTCTAGAGACGCAATGAGAAGACCAGGCACCACAACGAGAGAGTAGCCCCCTCTCGCTGCGACTAGAGAAAGCCGGCGCACAGAAACGAAGACCCAGAACAATAAAATATAAATAAATAAATAAATAATCTTAAAAAAATTTTTTTGTGTGTGTGTCGACACTCATTTGTTCATTTATTCAGCAGATATTCACTGAGCATTCACAATGTGCTGCTGCTGCTGCTAAGTCGCTTCAGTTATGTCCGACTCTGTGCGACCCCATAGACGGCAGCCCACCAGGCTCTGCCGTCCCTGGGATTCTCCAGGCAAGAACACTGTAGTGGGTTGCCATTTCCTTCTCCAGTGCATGAAAGTGAAAAGTGAAAGTGAAGTTGCTCAGTCATGTCCAACTCAGCCTATGGACTGCAGCCTACCAGGCTCCTCCATCCATGGGATTTTTCAGGCAAGATAAACAATCTTTTTTAAAAAGGAAAATGTCTCAGATTTCAGATGTCCCAACAGTCTTATCTTGTAGGTTTTCCCCAGCCATCACTCCCACAGCTGCCCACAGCCTGCCTCCTGGGGAAACCTCCACCTCCACCTTCAGTCCCATCCCAGGAATGACAACAGGCTGGGATGCTGTGGCCAGGGCTCTGAGCAGCAGCCCTGATTGGTTGGCAGGGTGGATGTGGGCGAAGTACATAATCTGCAGTGTCTCCTCTCCCCACGTTCCAGAGGGCTCCATAAAGCAAATGGGAGTGAGATGCATTCACTTAAATGCTGGTTATGGAGATGATTTGTACAGGAAAATGACCTGGAAAGCAGAATATTTGAGATCAGAGTCTACCTCCATATGGATATATGCCCCCTTGGCCAAGATTTCTCCTTTGCTGTTTCGGTTACAAATCTTTGGACCAGAAATTTCCAAGTTTTCTTTCAAAGCTAACTTCCAGTGAGTTTGAGCAACGTGGGGCAGAATTGGCCTTTGGGGATTTTGTGCATATGGATTTTGTGCATATGAGTTAGTTGCTCAGCTGTGTCTGATTCGTCGTGGCCCCATGGACTGTAGCCCCCTGGCTTCTTTATCCATGGAATTCTCCAGGCAAGAGCACTGGAGTGGGTAGTCATTCCCTTCTGCAGGGGATCTTCCCCACCCAGGGATTGAACCCGGGCCTCCCACATTGCTGGCAGATTCTTTAGGATTTGAGCCACCAGGTATATATGCTTTAAAAGTTTTAAAGGAATTCACTTAAATTACTCGCAGGCCTCCTGGCCTGTGACCACTCTTGTCGATCTTTCTTTCTTTCCGATCTTATTTCTGAGCGGTTGGGGAGTGGGAGGTGGGAGATGGGGAGGAGCAGGGGGACAGGGGATGCGAGGGAGGGTGCACCAGCCCGGAATTGTGCCTTTGGAATTCAGATTAGGTCACAAGAAGCTGACGTGCTTCCTTAATCTCCAGACGCCCTAGCAGTCCACATTCTCTAACAGATCAGCCAAGTTTTCCTTTCTTCCCTTCTCACATGGGCTTCTTTCCACCTCCGGCTCCCTCTCCCGACAGTGACCCCACTGGAGAAACTAGCGGATTCGTCGCAGCCTTTATCCGGCCTAAAAGCTGCACCCGGGTAGGGCAGGCAGCAAGCAGGACTCCGAAGGCCGCTTCGCTCCAAGAAGTGGTGCTGGCGCGCTCTCTGCTGGCAAACGGAAGAACTGCAGGCTCTCGATTTCGACTCCGCCCCCGAGTCCAAAGTCTTCCAGGTCACTTCCAGGAGCCTCCGCCCCTGGGACAGACCTTACCTGAAGCGGAGGCTGTAGGACTCCGGACTAAGCTGGGGATTTGCACGGAGAGAGGGTGAGGAGCATAAAGTGTTGGGGGAGCGAGAAAAGGGCCGACAGAAGAGGGGCTTGGGACTCTTGGAGAGAGGTTGGGTAGCGAGGCAGGCGCTCCTGCGACTGCCCTGAAGTGTCACGTTCCCGAGTAGAGCAGGGCCCTCGGAGCGTGCGGTCTGCGCCCGTCTGGCGATTCCCAAACCTGGAGCCCCGTGGAGAGAGTGGGCGTTTCCCTCTCGCACGCCGAGCAGCGAGCCTGCGTGCGGTGCTGTGCGTCGCACACCCGTCGCCGGGTCTTCCCCTAGTGTCTGCACGTGTTGGGAGGGGTGCTCCCTAGGACCGTTCCCCGGTGAGGATGGTGCAAAGGTGGCTTGAGAGGTACACACGCATCCCCATGTCTCCCCAGATGGCATCGTGGAGCCCTGACACCCCATGTTCCTGCGACTGCTTTGCCTCGGTGCCCCCGGCCTCGGCCCTCCCGGCGGTGATCTTTGCCAAGAACTCTGACCGGCCCCGGGATGAGGTGCAGGAGGTGGTGTTTGTACCAGCAGCCACGCACGTCCCTGGGAGCCGCCTCCAGGTGGGTTAGGCCGTATAGAGTGCTGGGAGGTGTGCAGAATTAGGTATTCTTCTAAAACCTTCCTCCTCTGTTCCCCCCACCTGAGAAACTACCAGGTGTGGTGAAAAGAACATGAGCTTTGAGTCTATTGACTGGGACCTAACCTGTTATTTAGCCTCTGTTGACCTCAGTTTTCTCATCTGTATAATGGGGATAAGACGACCTTCCTCAAAGGGCTGTGTAGGGTGATTGGCACAGCGCCACCACTTTATAGGTACCTTCCCCCTTTCTAAGTGGATTTTCCCTTTCTCTTCCCTCATCTCCAGTGCACCTACATTGAGGTGGAACAGGTGTCCAAGACCCATGCTGTGATCCTGAGCCGCCCTTCTTGGCTGTGGGGGGCTGAGATGGGCGCCAACGAGCATGGGGTCTGCATTGGCAATGAGGCAGTGTGGACCAAGGAGCCAGTTGGGGAAGGGGAAGCCCTGCTGGGAATGGACTTACTCAGGTGCGGACCTGCCCTCCTTCATCCCCTCAATACACCAGAAATCTGGGGCTGAATACTGACCCAGGCTACCCTCCCTGCCCCCAAGCACCTCACTCACCTTTTCTGCCCATTCTGTCATCCTCCCCAGGTAGGCTGCTCCCGCCCCTCCCCTCTCCTGGCCCCACCTCCACAGTCTGGTGAGGAGCTTCCAAATGTGGCCAGCTCTGGGTGTCTCCTGGCCCAGAAATAGGGCAGTGGTTTAACTTTATTTTCAATAGAAGGAAATTTATTTTCAAGTGAAATCTCATGAAGAATTTTGGTTTGTAAAACCAGTAAACATGGAGCAGCTCTGATAGAAGAGATTGGAGAGCTCAGGGCACTTCTTCCTCCAAGAATGTGTTTCAGTCCATTTCATGAACCCCTCAGAGCACAGCTTGAAAACCACAAGCCTCTAGATGGTAGCGATTTTCTCTGTGACGGGCTTGGCACCAAACCTCTCTGGGACTCTTCTGTCCCCTGAAGCTCTGCCATCAGCACTGATACCCCATCGCCCTTCTTTCCCCTGGACTCTTTGTGCCAGGCTGGCTTTGGAACGGGGCAGCTCTGCCCGGGAGGCCTTGCACGTGATCACAGTCTTGCTGGAGCGCTACGGGCAGGGAGGCAGCTGCCGGGAGGACCCCATGCCATTCTGCTACCACAACACTTTCCTGCTGGCCGACCGGACTGAGGCCTGGGTGCTGGAGACGGCAGGGAGGCTGTGGGCTGCACAGAGGATCCAGGGTGAGGGGCCTGGCGCTGGGGCCTGCCTCCCAGAAGCATTCTCCTTTTTGGGGTGGGAATGATGGTGGGGGCAAGGAAGGCCTGATCCAGGTGCAAATGTCTCAGATGGTGGGGACGTTCTGGGACGTGGGAGATGAGCCCACTCGGGTACCTCACCTCCCCCTCACTTGGTTGAGTCCTCTTGTGCTTCAGCCTGCAGCTTCCTCTGGGGAGCCTTCCTGGACTTCCTGGTGACCAGGCTTCTCCCTTATACACAAGCTGGGGTCCCTTCATGATGATGTTCCCTGCAGCTGCCGGCTCTCGTTTATTCGTGTGATCGGTTTATCTGTCCCCTCCACGAGGGTTGTCTTGTTCTCTTCACCACTGTGTTCTCGGCACCTAGCTAGCTGAGTGCCTGGCACAGGACAGGAGCTCAAGAATATATGAGCGACCCCCCATCTCCTCCGCAGAGGGGGTCCGCAACATCTCCAACCAGCTGAGCATCGGCACGGACATCTCGGCAGAACACCCTGAGCTCCGGCCCCATGCCCGGGCCCAGGGCTGGTGGGACGGGCAGGGCACCTTTGACTTTGCCCAGGTCTTCTCCCTGAGCCAGCAGCCTGTGCGCATGGAGGCTGCCAAGGCCCGCTTCCGGGCCGGCCGGGAGCTGCTGCAGCAGCAACAAGGTCAGTGAGTGGACCATCGAGTGGTCGGTGAGTGGTCAGCGGGGGCCCAGCTCTCTTCCCTCCCACAGCCTCAGGGGGCTTACTCTGAGGCCGGAGGGCCCCCCTTCTGCCCCCCGGGGGCCCTCACTGTGTCCTCCTTGGCAGGGGGTATCACGGCAGAGGTGATGATGGGCATCCTCAGGGACAAGGAGAGCGGCATCTGCATGGACTCTGGGGGCTTCCGCACCACGGCCAGCATGGTGTCCGTGCTGCCCCGGGACCCCTCCCAGCCCTGCGTGCACTTCCTCACTGCCACGCCAGACCCGTCCCGGTGAGAGGGTGGGGAAGCTGGGGGCAGTGCCCCAAGCAGGGGCGACGGAAGGGTGCCAGAGCCCTTATCCTTCCATCCTTGTCCCACTAGGTCAGTCTTCAAACCTTTCATCTTTGGGGTGGGGGCGGCCCAGGCCCCCCAGGTGCTGTCCCCCACTTTTGGAGCACAGGACCCTGTTCAGACCCTACCTCGATTCCAGACTCAGGTGGATCGCCGGCACCCCCTCTACCGTGGACACCAGGTGGCCCTGGGGCTGATGGAGAGTGAGCAGGTAACCCCGGGGAAGAGGGGCTACCCTGGGGGGATGATGCACTTCCCCCACCCCAACTGGGACTCTGGAAATGTGAGGGGAACTGGGAGCGAAGGAGACTAGAGCTGAGGAGTCTCTCCCTTCAAAGTCAGCTCTGGAGAATGTTGGGTGTATATCCTTTCTCCTGCTATGTGAGATGGCAGCCATCTGCCCCTACCCCGTAATCCGGAGGGAAACCTGTCCCGGGGATTCATCACTGCCTTTCCTGGGCAGGCTCGGGGGCAGCAGCTTCGGCAGAAGCAGCGGGACCTGGAGCAGGAAGGCCTGGAGGTTGTGCGGGGGCTGCTGACCAGGGAGTGTGCTCCACCCGCCCAGGAGCTGGGCGGCCTCTTCCAGGCCTTTGTGGAGAAGGAGAGCCAGGCATATGCCTGAGCCCGGCCCCTCCTGACTTGGCCTGGGGTGCAGGGGGCTGCGGTGGGCACAGGCCCCCTGTGGCAGAGGGCTAGAGCAATCCCCTCACCTCGTCCCCCACCCCAGCCTTGTTCTGAGTGGCCAGGTCGGCCTTCACCCTAATAAATGTGTTTTATTTTCTTGTTCAGTGTCCAGGTCCAGAGGGGGTAGGAGGGCCAAGAGGGGACAAAGGGCAGCCCTGAGGTGGCTGCAGGGCCGCTGGGAGCCTTGCTGGGCAGCATGTTCTTCTGACTTAGGTGGTGGAGGAACCTGGGAGGAGAAGAGGTGGCCCCCAGCATGGGGTGTGGGAACATGGAGGGGCATGGCTGGTACAGCAGGTGGCTGCTCATGGGAAGAATTAGAATTTTGGTTCTTGGCTTGAACCTTGGAAGGGCAGTCCCTGGTCGGGGGGCGGTGGTATGCGATGTGTCTACTGTGAGATGGCATCTCCACCAGGCAGTGCCCGCCTCCTGCTGGCTCAGAAGCCAGGTGGGGGCCCCGAGGTGGGGTGCCAGTCCCTTGGGCAGCTCCTGAAAGATCCTGTTCCTTAGAATCAGGCTCTGTATTCCTGCCATTGTTTCTGGGTGCTTTTTACTGACAGCTTCCCCTGAGATGCCCCAAGTGATGCGGAAGACACACGCAGGGCCTGGGGATGCTTTATTGGGGACAGGCTCCTGCCACAGGCCAGGGCTCTCAGGTGGAGGGGAGGCCCACTCCTCGTTCCTCCATGTGCCTGGGGCTTCGCTGACAGCCATGGGCTGCATTTCACTTCTTGATTCTTTTGGTCACAGTTTTGGTTGTGCCGGGGGCTCCAGCCAGAGAGGCTTTGGGGGCTGCGGCCGCTGTGGCCTCTTTCCTTGCCTGCAGAGTGCTTTGCTGGCTCCTGGGAGCCAGAGGGCATCGTTTCTTGGTGGTAGAGGAGGCCTGTGGCAAGGAAGCAGGCTCTGGGGATGTTTCTTTCTCTTGCATGGGGGTGATGGAAGGGCTGCTATCCCCAGCCATGGGTGCCCCCGGCAGCGGGGGGAGGTCTGTGAGGGCGGGTCGTGTCTCCACCCTCAGCTGGTGCTCCAGCAGGGCTGTCTGCTGCCTGTGCTCCCGGAGCCTGCTCATTTCCTGCTCCAGCTCCTTGAGGAAGCCTGTGAGGGGTGGGATGGTGGGCGGCGGATAGAGCCCTGGGCTTGGCAGAAGCAAACTCTCCCCTACCACCCCTAGAGGGGAGGAGACAAGGTTGGGAAGGACTGTTCTGGCCCCGGGACCACCTCCCCAGACACCACTGCCCGTCTGAGCTTCTCCCGGACCCCACAGGGCAGCTGCACACTTTGGAAAGCAGGGGTCACCTCGTTCTGAGCAGAATGGGCCTCTCAGCTCTGGGAACTCCTCATCCTCATCACTCAAGGCTGCATCCTCTTCGTCCGAGGTCCAGCGTTCTGCCACAGGCTGCCCGTCCAGGTCTAGGAGCAGTGGCAGGGCTTCTGTCAACAGCTTCCTGCGGGGCGGAAAGAGCAGAGGTGACCCAGGAGGGTACCCCGGGTGTGGAGCTGGGAGGATGTGCAGACACAAGCCGCAGCAACCACACCGGGAGGGGTGGTGTTCTTGAGCTAGAAGATGGACCTGTGGTCAGGTCAACACAGGAAGCTGCAGTTTCTCCTCACCTGTAGCCATCCTGGTTGGTGCAGCTGTTTCCAGCCAGGTTGAGGATGAGAAGGCTCTCGGGGAATTCATCTGCACACAGCAAAGAGAAGGGGGATGAGGTTCGCACCCCCACCTTCCAGTCCAAAGCCACTGCCCCTTTGCACAGCAGCCCCCAGGCTCCCTGGAGGATGTGCTGCTGATGCAAGCACAGGGAGGAGGGCAGCAGCGGGGGGGCACCCCAGGACTTATTCCATGAGCCAGGGCAAGGGCGTTCCTACCCAGCTTCAGTGTTTCTATCAGGTTCTCAGAAAGGTCCAGAAACTGGAGGTGTGGGAGGTCACGGAGGTTTTCCACTTGCCTAATTTGGTTTCCTGCCAGAGACAGGAAGCTGTAGGGGAAGGGAGGGGGAGAGACAGCTAAATCACAGAACTGCTGGAGGAAGGGATGGGGCCCCCAGGTGCCCGGGCCCCCCTGGCTCAGCAGCTGGAGGAGTGGGGACACGGGGCCTCCTGGGGTGAGGGAAGCAGAGCTAGGCTTGTGGGGCCCTTGGCTGACCAGCAGCCGGGCTTGGGGACATCTGAGCCAGTTTTCTGGAGTATTTCCAGGTTTCCTCCCCTTCGTTCTAGCTCTTCTCCCCTCCCCCAACCCTGCCAAAGCCCTGGCACCATCTACCGTAAAGAGGGGATGCAGGCCAGGTTCTCAATTCGCTGAATCTTGTTCTGCAGGAAGAGACCAAGGTGGGGAAACCAAGGTAAGGTCAGCTGAGTGGGGTCCCTTTAAAGGGACAAAGCCCTAAGACCGTGTCTGCTCTTGAGGCTGGAGACCTGGCCCTTTGGGCATGATCACCCCACTCCTTGAACAAGTTGTGAGTGCCTTGGGATGATCTGCTTTCTCCAAGTCAATGGCTGAGGACATAAACGTGGGGCTGGCTAAACTTGATTTAAGTACCCTGATCACCCCACAACCTGGACATCAGAGAAAGGGAACCACGGGGGGGTCCAGGAAACGGAAAGGCCTTGGTGGTGGACTGCACACACAAAGGGAAGAGCAAACCTGCACTCCTTTGATCTGGCCAGTGTCTGTGGGGGAAACTTGGAGGGATCTGGGTATATTCAACCTGAGGGAGCCTAGAGATTAACTGCCCCCTCTCCCACCCCCCACCAAAAAGCCTTCGAGGTTCTGAAGGATGCAGAGAAATCTTATGGTTCCCTCTTCCTTTCCTTCAAAACAGGAAATGGACTTGAGCTGTATAACATAAGAGATTTAGGACAGACACCATCTAGGACTTCTAGAACAAAAAAAGTGTCTGATAGAAAAACAGTGATTCAAGAGCATGGTCAGGATCTCTTTTGGGTGCATTGGTCTTTCAATTCAGCAGAATTCTGATCTCTTTCGGGTGTACTGGTCTTTCAGTTGAACAGAATTCCTAATTCATCTGGAAACCATTTCAGTGAAGGTCTGCCTGCCTGAACACCAGTAAATGGGCAAGATGACCTGGTTGGCGTCTTTCAGATTAAACAGACATGGCTCACAGGGGATGGAGTCCCCTCCCCAGGGAGAGGAAGGGCAGGAGGCAGGACATTACCCCTTGCAGATAGAGGCTGTGAAGATTCTGGAGGCCCTCTAAGTTCCTGATAGTGGTGATTCCTTCCCGGTCCAGGCGAACAGTCTGCAGTTCAGCAAGCGTGTGGAACCTGGGCAAATGGGTGCTGTGACGGAGTGCCACTTCTGTGGTCTCTTAGCAGGAAGATGGAGGGGAGGGTGTTTCAAGGAGGGATGGATGTCTCAGTGACTCTGATCAGATGTCAGGGACACCTGCTCGACTCATGAGGTGGGGCCTAGATTGGGAACCTGGGTTGACTTGGAGACCTCAGTTATCTATCAGTAGCACTGGGAAGGATAAGGGTGAAAGGGGAGTGAGAGTCCTTGGACTGGGAAACTAGGTGATGGTGGCCTATGGTTCCTGGAGAGGTGGGGGCAGACTTCCTCCAGCCAGCTTGGGTTGGGAGGCAGGGGGTGGGACAGAGAAGAGATCCTTCCTCACATCCCTTCAGAGTGTTCCATGGAAGGAAAATCACTTGTTCCACCCATCCATTCATTAATCCCGCAACATTTCCTGAATGCCCATTAGAGACAAATGAGAGAGTCCCTGCCCATCACTTTAGGGAAGCTGGCCAAACATCTATGACAAGCGGATGACAAATGCATGTGGAGAGGACTAAGGGAGTACATAGACTATACATTGAATCCAGAGGGATTCAGGGAATGCTTCCTGGGGGAGATGACACATAAGCAGGAGTTAGACTGGAAGGAGAGGGGGGATGAGAAGGCATTTCAAGCAGAAGGAATAGTCTGTGTGATTGCAGCCTTTTTGGAACTGCAATGTGCCCATGAATCCCTTAGGTGGTCTTGTTAAAGTGTAGATTTTGATTCAGTAAGTGGGCCCGAGATTCTTCATTTCTAACAAGCTCCTAGGTGATGCAGATGCTGCCCACCCACTCCAGCACCAATCTGAGTAGTAAGTGCTAAGCTGTAAGAACATGGGGTCTTAGAGGAATCACACTTATAGAGAGTGGCAAATAATAATGTTGAAAAGGCACCAGGCTAAAGTGTTTGTATTTTATTCTGGAGGTGCTAGGAAGTTAAGGAAGGTCCTAACAGGGAGTGTCTGATCAGATTTGTTATTTAAAGGGATCATTTTGGCAACAGTATGAGGTGCCTGGACTGGAGGCAGACAGACTAATTAGGAGTTTGTTGAGAAGTGATGACTTTAGACCCTTATTTAAAGCAACTGAGTGGGCATAGTGAAAAAGAGATAGAATGATTTTTAAGGAGGAAGAATCAGCTGTACATTGCCACTGACTGAATGTGTAGAGTAAATAAAGAGAGGGACAAAAGTAAGTTGACAAATCACTAGAGCTCAGGGGACTGGTCATTCTGTGTGTTTCAACATTCCAGCACCCCTTTCCTCTCTGATGCACTTACATCTTCTCTGACAGATCCTCATCCTCTGGGAAGGCCAAGTTCCGCCTAGTGATGAGGGCTTCAGTAATGCACACGCCACTGACTTCCTCTGGACTCTGGGCAAGTTTAGCTGTGAAAAGATGAGTCCAATTGTTACATTTCCTTGTTCTTGGAGGCCTGACTATACTGTTAACCAACTGTTCTACCTACCACCCCACCTCCCTACTCACCTCCAGGCATGATCTAAAAGTTGCTGGCTTGCGGAGCGATTGGAACTAAGAGAAGTAGAGCAGCTTGGACAGGCCCTGGGAATGGAAGAACCCAGGGTGGTATGAGGAGAGAGAAGCTCAGAGAATTGGGGGACAAAGGAAAGGGCTTGATTCAGAGCTAATTGTTGGGGTGGGGCAGAAGACGAAAGTAAATCGGAGTGGAGGATCTGGAGTTTGAGGGGTATATAGGGGCTTTCCAGGCCGCATACAGGGGGATTGTAGGTAGATAGCGGTGCGGACGGATGGAAAGAGCGGTTCGAGGCGTCGTTGCTAGGAGAC